GTAAGTTCCTGAAAAGTCCATTATATCTCATCAAGGAAATTTTACTTTATTTATAACTACAGCTCACTCCAAAACCAAGTGAATGTGTTATTCTAGCATGGAAAAACCTTTCTTTGTTGAAATGCTTGGTTTCTTATTAGGGTTGCTCCAGGATGTAATTTAAGGATACACCTCAATTCACTTCAACTGTGAGCCACCACTAAAAGGTAAGGTCTCACCTTACTCTTCATGTCCAACTGTACATCCTTGCCTTCTCCCTGTAGTATAACACTGCCATGTAGCAGGGCAGATAAAAGTTTATTCCCCTGGTTACTAAACTTGCGGGAAAACAGAAGTTTACCTTCCAGTAAGATCAGTAAGTAAGTTGATGCAAACCACACTGAGGTCCTACGATTATCATACACAAAACCACCAGTGCAGAAATACCCAGTCAGGGGAAAACCAGAGTCTGCTCCTCTCATGACTGGGTAAACCAGAGTCCGCTCCTCTCAGTGGAGGTCAATAGCTGTCCTAGATTGCAAGTTGCACACTCAGTTTCCACAACTATCAGATCTGCTGACTGACCCCAAAACTCAGCTCTATTCCACTCTGAAAGGTGAATCCAGCAGAGATGTACTTAAGACCATTACTGTTACTATTTGCCAGAGGGTAAGAGTCAGTACTATTTTAGACCTTTAGTTAAGTGCCTCTTCATTAAGGCATTTCATACACTTTTGTGTTGACCCTGATCTTCCTTTCCTGTAAAGACAATTAAATTTGCAGAAAATAAATCTGTCAGCTTAAGTTACTGTCTTTTCCTTACCCTAGTAAATACAGTTTTAGAGCTTGCTACGGTTAATATGGTATTATTCACTATATTGTTCGATCCACTCTTTTCAAAAAAGTGGGTAAAAAGAAGGTGCTCACACTAAGTGCTAGAGCTCTCACCACTTCGTTCTGGTAGTCAACCTTATCATTGTTACATAGAATAAAGGAACAATTTCTGCTAAAAAAAATATAAAATAAATACTGTTAGTCTATGAAGAAAACGCTTCCCCTAGTAGAGTCCTACTATAGAATTTCAAACTCTCCATTTATCAAACTTTGTTCCTCAACTAAAGAACTGGTACATAAGAAAAATTCACTTTGGATCATCATTCAGCAGAACAACAAATAGTTTGTTTTTGAAACAGCTACAGATCACATTCCACTGGCTTCCCAAGTAAGCTAATATCTTACATAATTTTATCTCGCTTGCTATGGCATTAATAAGTCTGTTGCCCCTCCCTCAAGAAATCCTTTTATACAACCAAACGAAGAAATGTAACAAATATTCACCCAAAGCTCTAAAATTTTCTCCTACTTACACATTATGAGTACTAGCAATATAAATAATAAATATACAATATAGATTCTATGGTAATATGTGTATTTATATTAGTAAAATATTTTAAACTGTTTATCAAATTGTACTGTCTTTCCTAGTTTAAAAAAAAAATAAAAAATCAATACACAAAGTCCTGCAAATCTGCACAAAAGGACCACCACATTTGTAGGTAAGCACTTCTTGCAAAATGCATACCATCTTAGACTTTAATGCCAAGAAAACTCATCAGAACAGTAAACCTGACAGTGAGAGCTGCTGACTAATAACAATAGCAATAGGGAAACCTAGCATATAATGTTTTTACAGACTTGGGAGATCCCGATGCTAAGCCAGCGGATGGGAAGAGGGCCCAGATCATGACATAAAACCACCGTATTGTTAGCTGGCCTTTTCCCAAGCAGCTGCATGAAAGAAGTCTTGGTGAAAAGTCACACAAAGAATGCTGTTACACAGCATTCCTGATCATCATCCAGTGGAATCAGATTTCAAAGTAACAACTTGTACAGCAAAATCAAGCCTTTTAGGCTTACAGAAAATTGTAGACAAAGATCACTGTAAGGAAACTATTTAAATAGGAGATGCACAGTATTAGATACAACAGAACAATCTGCTTAAAAAACAGGCTGCATACTCAGTATTATGAGAACACAAAGAATTGGAATGCAAAAAATTATAAGCAGTTCAAATGGTCATGATTTTATTTTCTTCTCACTGAGTGTCAAAAACCCAAAGGAAATTACTGCAACAGTTAAGGAAACATTACTGAATTGAAAAGGCCCAAAACCGTCAAACAGACAACAGTTCTCAAGTATCTTTAAACAAATGCTCACTTGTTGCTCTTCTCGGTTTTTTTAAAAGTGTTTATATTTTGTCCAGCTACCAATTCATATACAGAGTACAAAGCTAGAGAAAAGTTAATCTCTCTTTCAAAAGGCATCTTATACATAAGACAGCAAATCAATAAGCAACTCGTATACATACCACTTTTTCTCATTTTAGAAAACTTTTATATTCAGTCATGTATTTAAAACCACAGTGGTGCCCCTAAATGAACATGAATACCAAACTTAGCAAGGAATTCTGTCAATAAATATATCCAAAGAGAAAATTTCCTTTTCCAGCTCAGTCCTACTTTTCTACTTTTATTATCAATAAAAAACAAATTAATGAATAAAACAAAAACCAGCAAACAATCTAACAATTTATAGAACTGCAGTCTCTGAACACTAAAAAAGTCCTAATATTTATGTAAAAACAAAGTCCACATAGTCCACATATAGGGAAAATTATTTTTCCTCACAAAACTTAACCACAGCTGTTAAGACAGTCAAAGACATAGTCAAAGCTTATTCCTAAAATTTCTGACAATCACTCTGATCATAACTATATGATATCCCACTCTTAAATTAATTAAATCAAATGTGCCGCTAAATACAGCCAACTCTTAATAATCCTTAGCACGGATAACCTGCTGACAGCTAAGCCACACCATGAATATTAGTCCAGGCTACACTCTGCTAAATCCAACTGTATTGTTTCCAAGATCTGTGCAAGTGCAGCAGCAGAATGGCCATTTTCGCACAGTGTGAAGACACTGAACAAACACATGCAACCAGCCCTTAGCTGCTTCTGTTCAGCGTCAGTTCAGACTTCTGACAATGGGAAGCACAGGAGGGACACTGAAGCACAATAGAACATATTCCACTCAAATCCAGACAGAATTATCAGTTTGGACTTGCTACAGGTTCTGATTACAGTGACAGCAGCCACCATCACCAAGCCAAGAGCAGGTGGGCATCTGTGTACTCTCCAGTATACCAAAAAAGATTATAAGCAACAGAAAATGCCATTCCCATTTGGCGCTTCACATGAACTCTTCAGGCCTTCCAGATCCAGACCAGCAACTTCGTGCAGAACCATCTGCATGAGTTTCCGACACTAAGCCGAATGTTTCCACAACACTGTCTAGAAACCACTTGGCTAGTACAGTCACTATTATCTAGGATAACTGAACTTCCCCTATCCCAATCCACCCCCAATAACTCATATAGCTAAGAGCTAACTATGGCTGTAAAAACAGTTAATGCCTCAAAAATGCAAATTATCGATGTCTTCTGTTTTCAGAGCAAATACAGAAAACAGTGCACTCAATTTTAAGAGCACTCTTCAGGCGAAAGCCTTGCTAAAATCAGTAATTCCATTTCAATTTCAGGCTATGTCCTAGTTTCAAGGTAGTATGAATGTTTACGCTGGTGAAAATATTCTGTAATCCCTTCTAACCCCTACCATTCTGTGACTCTACCATTACTTATTTCCTAAAAAAGCAAGTGTCCAGCTGCCATTTCTGAAGAAATTAATTTAACACTGCCATGTATCAACCTGTCTTGAGAGGAAGAATAGTTTAGACTAAAGTACTGGTCTGACACTTAAGATGGTAGTTTCACCAACACACAGACAACACCAACTCAATACAATCTCCCAACGCTCACAACGGATACTAAGTTTGACCGTGCTTTTCCCAAGAAGGGTTGGACCAGGTGATCCTTGAGATCCCTTCCAACCTGGTATTCTACGATTCTAAGTTCACTAACATGTTTGAGATAAGCAGACACTAGAACAGTGAACGCTTGAGCGTATACTGTACATTACAGTCAAAACATAGTCAAGGGAAAGGGTAGATCAGCCCAAACACAAGCAGGGTCTGTGTTCCTGCAACTCAACTGCAACAGAAATACCAAAGCTGCATCAACACTAAGCTAAGATATAAGTTAGCTCAAACCAGGACAATTAGTTAGAACATTACGTACGCAGCACAAAATTTCCAGAATACAATTTACATAGACTGCCCAAATTAAATCCAGCATTGTGATCATAACTTTTCTCCTCTCACAAGAGAAAGGGCTCAATATCAAAAGGACCAGGCTATTTACAGATAGATGATGGACAGGAATTTAGAAGTACCTAGTAAAGAGAGAAGAAGGAATTCCAGAAGTGATTGAAAAGTTCATTGAAATTTTTCGTTCACATCACCCAGCTATTAGTATAAACATTATCAAGACAGGATATTCAGTGGAGACTTTCTCTAGCAGTTCTACTCAGCAGGAGCAAAACTGATGATAACGTGAACAATGAAATTAGAAAGATGCAAGCGACAGGTAATCACTACTGCAACTTTTCAGCTCTAACTTCTTTGTTACAGAACCTATTAGCAAATCAGGCATGAAAGAGCTACCCTTTGAAAATGCACTGGTGCATTCAGTCTGGACTACAGACATAAAAATTCCACTTTCCTCCATGAATGGTGCACTTTCAACAGCATTCTAGAAACGTTCAAACTCCAACTAAATACACATAAAATTTATCCTTTTTACCCATTAAAATCTTACATTAAAATGCTCGTTCTCCTTCATTGTAACTTTTTTTTTCCTAAAAACTAAACTAGGAATAATGATTTATGTTCTCAAACTAAATTCAACCTAAACTGGACAGAAAAAGGTTACTGTAAAATAGTTCTCTCTTTCCAAACCAGCCAGTGTTTCCATTTATGTTTAGGATCCCTATAAATTTTTTTTTCACAGACTTTTTTCTCTCATACAAAATAAGAGAGTTCACAAAAAATAAGAATAAAACTTACCCCCATTATCTGTTCTCTTTAAAGCACCATCCTTATGAGGGCATAATTCACATCTCTAGGAAAAAAAAGCAAAAATAAAATAAAAAACCGGAACGATCATAGGAGCATTGAAAAAGAAACCATACACATCAAAACTGTTAGCTGACATTAAGGAAGCAACCATTCTTTAAAAGTGAACGGGTGTGTTTTCCCTTAACCTTTACTTGAATATTAGTGTTAGTTTATCACAAACAAAGCTTTCTCCTCCAGGTATTGAAACCATGATACATGGCAAAGCTACTCACAGTTCCACCTCCAAGTTTTTATTCCTGGATTCCACACCTTGGAATTCTGGAGACAAGCCTCCAAAAACTATAGCATGGGACAGACTTGCTTGATAAGGAACTCAGGCACAGTCCAAAGGCTCCCTACTGTACTTCCTTCTCCTAGGACCTCTGTATTCCCCACAGTGGTCAATCACAAAGACATGCCATGGATATAGTCAGCACAGGTGCACATATTACAGCTGACTTCATAGTCTCTGCTGACTCTCAGTTACCCTGAGACCCCAAAAGCAATCTTGCTTTCTGTTTCGGGAAAAGGAGGCCAGAAGTTGACTCATCCTTGGAATTCTTCAAGACTACATGTCTGGCAACATACAGTTTGACATCGTATTCTTCTGCCATACACCAGGATCACAACAGTACAATCTTTCTGCTATTGCTGCCTCTACCAAGTTATATCAAGTTTATCTCTAAGTGTCCTAGAGCAGTGTGAATCAATTCCAAATCAGTTCAGAGATGACAGAAACAGAACAAGTTTGACACACACTCCACTTCAACTGGTCAAAATGACACGCAAAGGAACACCATTCTAGGAGACCCTATACCTAGAAACCACCTTATTAAAACCTTTATGTATCCCCAAATTAGGGACAACTCAAAGCATACCAATCTAACAAGCTTTTTAAGAAACTGAAGAACAGTCTGATCATCAGATGCAAACTTAATATCACATCCTTCAAATAGAGAGGGACATCTGGCATCAGTACAGATCTCCTCTGTGTTCCCTGAACAGTATTATTCTCCATTACCAGCTAACTGGCAAGCCAGCTGATAACAGAGCCTATGATGCTGGAAGTGCCTCAGAAACAGATTGTCCAAATTTATTTGAGGAATGAGAAATTCCATTCCTGGAATTCATATGGCTGAAGTATATCTTGACGATATCTATTTCTCTTAACCTGTAAGAAAATTTGTATCAGCAGAAAAGAGGCTTTCACAAAGCGTACAATAGAAAAGTTCTTACTTTTGCTCAATGCATTGGTATAGACAGCTGCACACAGGAAGAATCTTTAGCATCGCTGCTTTGTGTCTTTTGCCTCACTCATCCCTCCCTCATATTCACCCACTAAAATGATCAGCAAATTATTGAAAGGCACCATTAAGTCTATGGTGAAATTTAGAGAGAAGAGTGGTTGAAAGCTTCTGAACCATTCTGTAAGGTGCCTGCAGACTCTGAGCATTACACAAGTTCCAGTCAAGGTTGTAAGGACTTCCTTTCACTGAAATAAACCGATCAGTTCCTTTTAAACAAAATCCTACATATGCAGTATGTATGTGAGCTGTATCTGAACATTCCAGCCCTCCAAACATTAAATACTAGGTGCTGACAGACACTTAGTAGCAGTAGGTCCATTTTAGTAAATTCCCCATACGCTGAACCAGATTCTCAAAGCAAGAAGTCTGGTACACATCGATGGTGACAGTGCAACAAAGTTTGTTCCCACTCCACAGCTGTGAGCTGGCAGCTCAAGGCCCAGGAGTAGAGATGATGTATCTACCACTGAGACAAGGGAAGCCGTTAACACAGTCTACCTTGCCCCACCTCTGCAAGCCTGTGGAAGTTTGACACACATTTTCACTAGTGGCAAAACCAGTTTAGGAGGTTCTCTTCTTCCCTCTACCACTCCCTTATTAATCTCTCCCTCTACCACTCCCTCAGCTGCTGACCCAACTATCTGCAGGGCTTGCCCCTTAAACCAGATGAGTGAAATGGAGTGAAATGAACTTTGTCTTTTTAACATTTTTAATTCAGGTCATATCACTGATGCAATTTAAACATAATCCCACAATTAGCTGCATCAGCAAAAATGAAGGCAGGAAGCCACAGCACTGCAGCATTAGTAATTAAAGAATTAGCAAGCTTCTTGAGCAAACTTTATCACACAAAAAAAAAAATCAAATCAAAATTATCACAGGACAGTAAGCAGCAAGGAATTGAACCAGTCTTTTACTCAGAAGAGTTAAGCATGCTCCACTCAGTCTCATCAGAGCTCAGTTTCAACTAATTTTTTTTTTGTCTTGTATCTATAATAGTACTTAGGTCCATTAAGACTTCCCTCATTATCCTTCTTCAGCCCTGGCTGCAACCGGTCAGAGAAAACAGAAAAAATGAAGTGCAGGAAGGAGGTTTGACAGCAGAAGACAACTTGTGTGCAGGGAGTTCTGCAGAGTGCCCTCTCGCTGGCGGGGAGCGGCATGCCTGCACTCTGCTCTCGTGGGGCTTGGTGACTGTGCAGAGACACCTGCACTCTGATGACAGGAAGCACTTCTGGTGCAGTGACTTCTAGCTGCTTAAAGAAGTGCCCTAGTAAGCCAATACACCACACAGTGGCCCTTTCCTTTCCCCCCTAGGTTATGAGCCTAACTCCTTCCCAGTCTCCCCACTCTCAGACTCTGTCACCCATTTCTGCTCTCCTGAGTTTCAAAATGCACCACACAGAGCTTTGCCAGGTGGGAACAGTGTGCCTCATCCTTTGAGACAAGTAACTGGTAGAGAATTTCCCCCCCCCCCGCCCTTTTCTTCTCCTTTTTTTAACTAACATGTTCTTACTTGTTCTAGAATCTTTCAGCTGCAACTATCACTTTTTTAAAATGCTATGTTGCTGTGAATTTGCAAAGCAACTGAAAAAAAATGTTATGCTCTTTCAAAATGCTTAAATGCATGTTGTTACAAAGGTTATTCTGCCCCGCTGAGGCCATATCTGCAGTACTGTGTTCAGTTCTGGGCTCCCCAGTTCAAGAGGGACAGGGAAGTACTGGAGAGTCCAGTGAAGGGCTACTAAGATGATGAGGGGACTGGAGCATCTGCCCTACGAGGAAATGCTGAGAGACCTGGGGCTCTTTAGCCTAGAGAAGAAAAAAAGACTGAGAGGATCTTATCAACACTTACAAATATCTAAAAGGTGGGTGTCAAGAGGATGGGGCCAGGCTCTTTTCAGCAGCACCCAGTGACAGGACAAGGGCCAATGGGCACAAACTGGAGCATAGAAGTTCCTCATGAGGAAAAATTTGTTTACATTAAGGGGAGCAGAGCACCGGAACAGGCTGCCCAGAGAGGTTGCAGAGTCTCCTTCTCTGGGGATATTCAAAACCCGCCTGGATGCGATCCTGTGTGACCTGCTGTAGGTGAACCTGCTTTAGCAGGGGGGTTGGGCTAGATGATCTGCAGAGGTCCCTTCCAACTCCTACCATTCTGTGATTCTGTAGGAGAAACAAAAGAAGATAGTTGGGTGTATATGTATCTCAGAAGTCCAGTTACTTATAATTTCTTATTTGAATGTTTTTGTCCATGCAATGTCTCCTTCCAATTTACTTATGGATGAAACGTGGAGTTTAAGTCACCAGAAGCAACAGCTGAATCACTCTATTAAATGCCACATCACATACAACTTGTATGATGGCATAAAGCTTTGTTCTTTGCAACACAGTATAAGGAATAATTTCACCATCTGTACGAACAGTGAGATTGTCTCCAACATTTGAGCACATGAACCATGCCAGGGCTCTCTTCTCCAGTTGTACATTGTAAGTCTTAGCTCCAGTAAAGGATTTCTGACACAGATTTATTGTCTGAGCATTCAAAAACATTGTAGGGAACTATTGAACAAGCTGAGAGGGAGGGTGCGCGGCAGGTAGCGGGGGCGGACGTGACACCCACAAGATATCACAGCATAAACAGGGCAAGCTGCTATGACTGTTCAACAGTTCAGATAAACATCAAGTTAGACAGTGCAAATGTGACTACGACAGAGGCTGACTGTGACCTAAGAGAACAACCACATCCTTCAGTGTGCTGAAGGGTACTAGTGCTATAGCAGGGACAGGCACCAGTGCACGTGGTGCTGCAGGCACAGCCAGTTGAATTAGATTTGAAGAGGAGGAGTGAAAAACACACAAATACTGGCTGAAGAGAGAATGAAGTCCTAGCAAGTGACATTGTCCCTCCCTTTCTGTCCTTACCAAGTGTAACATGGACATCTCATTTTTGCAGCTCTTTGCTGGAACAGACCAAGTTTATGGATCTAGCTTGTGTCCAAGCAGAATGCAGGTGAACTCTCAG